ATATATATATATATATATATATATATATATATATATATATATACACCACGGATGATGTGCGAGTCTGCCTAATTACCAAATTATAAGTTTAATACATGCACACTGTGAGAGGATAAAGTCCGAAGTAGAAACAACTTTGAAGTGTGTATCCAGCCGCGCCAACTACTGTACTTCGTGAGCGTGACGCATGTTATACCCGGGAGGTAGCAGCGTCCCTCACTTGTTAGGGCCTGAGATTCGGCGTCGACTTACAAGTCGGCTTGCGGTTTTTTGCCACTTTCAGGTATCCCTTTCATTGGGTCACCGCTCCAGCTGGCACAAGCTCTAAGCTCCAGTAGGGTCTCCCTACATCTGTAATAGAGTAATGCAATAATTTGTGCGTGTGCGTGCACGCGCGGGGGGGGGGGATATAAGGAAAGAGGGAGAGACAAGGACGCGGAAGGGAAGGGAAGATCATGAGCAGTCGTTGTCCTGTTTGTTGAGGTTCTGCTACGGAAATCGCCTTATATTGATAGGAGAAATATCTTAAAATAACGGCGATTGGCTGTATGAATGACATTTCCCAACAGGAGGTAGCTAGGTGGTACTTTATATTGACGAGGAATAGCAGAAAAGTAATATACAACGATCAGTCTGCTCGTGGGTGGTTTCTAACGCTAGTAAGAGACAAGACATGCAGTTTCGAATTTCACGGCGTCAGTCGTAAATTCCTATTTAGACGATACCATCAAACCAAAATTCACTACGAACTTCGCATGGAGCTTAGCTACGCATTTCAGAGTAGGAGAAGCGACGTGGAGAAACTCCGCGGCGAGGCAAAGCGGAGCAGAGAGGAACAGAGCGGAGCTAGGCAGAACGCAGCAGGTTGGAGTGCACCGGAGCGGGACAGAGCAGAGCTTGGTGTGGCGAGAACAGCGGATAGGAAAACACAATTGCTTCCACTTCACATTCCAGATATAATTTATTCCTACCATGCCTAATAGATGTCTAGTTATCTCAACACCAAAAATGCTAATAAACAAAACCACGCGAAACGGTTTCCACAAACGCACACTCATTGCTCAAGAGACCAAATAATATACTCTCGTATAGCACTGCGATACATTAAATATTTGCAGTCGTCGTAAATATTTTAATTAATTTAATTTTAATTTAATAGATAATTCTTACAAACAAATGAGCTTACTTGATCCTATGTGGCTAGGCCGAAGGCCTTTAATCCATTACAATACCTACATCCTTTCGCGTTCTAATCTTCGTAAATATTGCACAGTAACACAGTCCTTTAAATGTGAAGATTATCGAAAAGTTTTGTGTTCCTTTTCGCACCACTTGAATAACAATTTTAAATGACGGACGGCACTTTTCTCGGAGTTTTACTGTCGCACGTAAGCTGTGTAGCAAGTAATGAAGCACTGACTTTGAGAATTCAGTCGGTACGCACAGTATGAGAATACGCGGAATAAGACGATGGAAGACTTGCATTTGTCAGTCGATTTCGAAAGTATTTCTTTCCCCTTAGTTCCTGGGAACTAACGAATCCATAAACACCTTTCACAAGACCGAAAGTTGCATAGATTTCGCTCAATTTCTGCGTGCATTGGGAATTAGTAATATAATAGTGATAAATCGTTAGGAGTGATCCAGGCTACTTCAGTTGGTTGCTTGGTAATGAAATAATGTACCCGACTGCTCCAAAGAACGTTGCAATTCGAGGGGAAGCTGAACTGAAGTTTTATTATCCGCGAAAAAGCTTTTCAACTTTGACACAAAACAAAAACAGAGAGAGGGGGGAGTGAGTCATAGAGAGGGGAGAGGGAGAATGCCGCCCTCACGATTATACATATGGTAAAAAACTAGAGAAGTGCTGAAATGTACAAGACAAATTGATGTAATTTATTTGTTGGGAAATTTAACTTTGTGTGTGACTTGAGAAGAAAATGATTATGTCGATTATGATAGAAGAAGAAACGAGTACACACATCTGCAATGAGTGTATGAAACTTCCATGATGACCTTCCGATGATTTTTTACTTTGCGTTATTTACAACGCGCCAGCCTTGGATGAAAATAGGAATTTTTATGACTATTTTTTTTTCTTATTTCTGGATAAGGTCAGTGGTTAGTTTTACTTATTACATTATTATTTATTTATTTTATTTATTACATTATTCCTCCTCTTTCCCACTAGTTTTTGTTATTTCTGATATAATTAAAATGTAATATTAATGTTAAACCATAAACGACTAAGGCTGTATGGGCTATCCCATCCATATCTCTTGAATGACGTGAGAGTTTGGACAATTCTTATATGCATTTAAGGAAAGAAATGCCATAGCTCCCATAATTATCGCTTTTACCCCACACATATGGTTGGTCTTCATTTCCAAATTCTCGTATTTAAGACGTTTCTCCGCCTCCTGAGCTACAACAAGGTCATCGCATGGCACCAAAATATCAATAAGTAGACACCCTATTTTCTCTTTACACTGACACGAATAACAATAACTTGTTTGTTGGCTGATATCAAACAATCAATAAGAATTTCTTAATTATCCGATATTATTGCAGGATCCAATTGGAGTCACTCGGTTTTGTCCCGCCTGAATGAAGTGTCTGTAACTTTAAGGACTTCAGAGAACTGGAACTGGAGGTTCTGGCCGTATATGATTTTACATGCACTCGGACGTGGCTTGAATTAGACAAGCTGAAACAATATCACCAACCGTTTGTAGCGGTTCCAGAGAAATGCTGCATGTATAATCATGGATAATTGTGATAACTCGTATATCATAATGTATTCTCAATTACTTGGGCCGCTAATAAAAGTGTCAGCGATTCTGACACAGAATCTGGCTACATTTTTCCCTTTATGCAACATAAATTGTCTTTGATATTATCATCATCATCATCATCAATAATACTATTAATATTATTATTGCTACTATTATTATTTAAGCAAATTTATTACAAGAATTTAAGTGAAAATATTAACTAAAATTCTAGAGAGAAATATTTGAAATAGACATATCCAGGGAAAGCATTTGTTCTCTATAATATATATTTTTTTTATCATTACTGTGCCCATTCTAATGCCATTTCGACCCACTGCGGAGCGGAGAAGACGACGCCCGCCCGTTCTCTATAGTGTTCCTCACGAGGGACCTCGCCAGAATATTAATTCCAAGCTTGTCTTTCATCGTCTCTCCCTGCGCAACACGCGACCGGAGCAGGGGGTGGCGCGGCGACTTGCTTTTCAGGCAGCGGCGGCTCGGCTGCACGGGCGGCGGCGACGAGAACGGCAGGCGTCGTGGAAGGGGCGGGGCTGGTGGGGTGGTGAGAGCGAGTCCCA